AGGTCAACATCTGTCCCCCTGCCAACACAAACTGTGTACGGTCGGAGAGGAAGGAGAACCACCGCAACACGGTGCCCCCCACTCCCAACCCTTCCAATCGTCACAGCATGATACCATGGTCGATGGTATCAAAAGCCGCTGAGAGGTCTAATAGGACCAGGACAGAGAAACAACCCCTGTCCTGAGCCCTCCAGCAATCATCAACCAATGCGACCAATGCCGTTTCCGTGCTGTACCCCGGCCTGAAGCCCGACTGGAATGGGTCTAGATCAGTGATGACTAACCTTTTTGCCATCGCGTGCCAGGAGAGGGGGGCGGGGGAGGGTCGCATGCGCACGTGCCCACGTGCATGTGTGTGCAACCCCCTCCCCCCCGCTCCTGGCATATGATGGCCTGGTAGGCCCGTTTCTCTTTCTTACCTGGTTCCAGATCCTCTCTGTGTATCTGGGAACGGTGAAAACAGCCTTTCCCACTCCCTTGGAGGCCCTACGGAGGCTGAAAGGGCCCATTTCCCAACTCCCGGTGGGACAGGAAGTGACATTTTTTGCTGTCCCCAGCCTCCAGAACCTCTCTAGGAGTCTGTAGGAGCCTCTCTAGGAGTCTGTAGGAGCCTCTCTAGGAGTCTCTGGAGGCTGGGGACAGGAAAAAAGTCACTTCCTGTCCCACCGGGAGTGGGGAAATGGGCCCTTTCAGCCTCCGTAGGGCCTCCAAGGGAGTGGGAAAGGCTGTTTTCGCCGTTCCCAGATACACAGAAAGGATCTGGAGCCAGGTAAGAAAGAAAAACGGGCCTTCCCCACCCCGCCACCAGGCCCTCCAGAGGCAGGAAACAGCCTGTTTCCCTACTTCTGGTGGGCCCAGAAGGCCTGAAAATCAGCTGGCCGGCACGCGCATGTACCCAAGAGCTGAGCTGGCGTGCCCACTAATATGGCTCTGCGTGCCACCTGTGGCACGCGTGCCATAGATTCGCCATCATGGGTCTAGATAATCAGCTTCATCCAGGTACTGAGGAAGTTGTTGCACCACCACTCTCTCAACAACCTTCGCAACAAAGCGAGGGTTGGAGACTGGATGATAGTTCGCTAATATAGCCGTGTCCAGGGAAGGCTTCTTGAGGAGGGGCTTCACCACCGCCTCTTTCAGCGAGGGAGGGAAGAAACCCTCACTCAAAGAAGCATTAATAATCCCCTGGAGCCAGCCTCGTGTAACCACCCGGGAGGCCAGCACCAACCAGGAGGGACACAGGTCCAATAAACATGTGGCAGCGCTAAGCCTACCCAGAATCCTGTCCACGTCCTCGGGAGTCACAGGGTCAAACCCCTCCCAGATAACATTCTCAAGACCCACCTCTGTCACCCCATCCGAATCTACCCAATCAGAGTCCAGGCCTTCCCAAATCTGAGTGACTTTGTCATGCAGGAATTGCACAAAATCCTCAGCCCTTCCCTGTAAGGAGTCTTCCCTCGCTCCCAAATGAAGGAGGGAGCGGGTCACCCTAAACAGGGCTGTTGGGTGGTTAATGACTATTTAATGACTAGTTAATGACTGTTTAATGACTAGATCCCCTATTTCCAGATCACTCTGCCACTGACCAGAGACAAAAATCAGATCCAGAGTGTGTCCCCCAATGTGAATAGTGTCTTGAACTAACTGGGTCAGGTCCAAGGCCGTCATGGAAGCCATGAACTCCCGAGCCACCATAGACGTTTCATCGACAGATGGCAGGTTGAAATCCCCCATAACCATAAGTCTGGGGGTATCAACTGCCATCCCGGCTATCATGTCCTATGCACACATGGATATGTTCTGTACAGAAGCAATACTCAAATGTGACTCCCACATCTAGTAGGATTTAACCAAGGGGGAAATGCAGGGGGAAATAGCTTGCCATGGCTGCCTCCCATATTGATTGGGAACCATCGGTTAGGGAACTGGGATTTCTCCAGTCATCACTGAAGAAAAGCAGGAAAAGAACGCTCTGCATGAAAGTGACTCCTAAGCTATGACAATAACGCTGGTGAGAGTACAAGCCTAGATAGCGACAGATGTTTTGTCAGGGAATGGCCTCATCTTATGTTGTATAATTTTTTCTGTAAAAGTAATTTCTGCAGCAGATAGCAACACTTAGCCAACCCTGGTTAATCTGGAAAAAAAACTAAGGAGATTTGGACCTGATAAATACTTGAATGGATGACCAAGAGGCATGGTTGTATGCTAGATGAGCAAGTTAACAATACTTTTTGACAAGAAGGCAGTGACAATAGCAAATCACCTCCAGACTGCTCCAAGTGTTATATGTGGATTGGGTTCTATACTGTGATTATGCTCTGTATCTCAGAACTAGTAAATTAGTAAAGGTAAAGGTTCCCCTTGCACATATGTGCTAGTTGTTCCCAACTCTAGGAGGCGGTGCTCATCTCCGTTTCAAAGCCGAAGAGCCAGCACTGTCCGAAGACGTCTCCGTGGTCATGTGGCCGGCATGACTAAATGCCAAAGGCGTACAGAACATTGTTACCTTCCCACCAAAGGTGGTCCCTATTTTTCTACTTGCATTTTTACGTGCTTTTGAACTGGTTGACAGAAGCTGGGACAAGTAACAGGAGCTCACCCCGTTATGCAGCACTAGGAATTTGAACTGCTGAACTGCCGACCTTTCGATCAACAAGCTCAGCGTCTTAGCCACTGAGCCTCTGCGTCCCCAGTAAATTAGATAAGATTTTTTGCTAGGGGAATAGCAGCCATTACAAGCTAATTTTCCCAATAATCCACCTTGCAGCATTTTTGCCCTTCCCGTGAAAAGGAATAGGAAATAATTATATAAGCTGTACAGATGAAATGCAATAGAATCTCATGCTGTGCTGTTGTGCTGCTCCTCTGTAATATCTGGTCAATGTCATCTTTCCCTTGGAGGCCAAATGTTAGTGGGGAGGAGCCTTTGTTAAATTTATATGTACTCCTTGTGGGTCTGACCTTTGAATGCCAGAAAAATTAGAAAGTTAATTGAAGTCAGTTGAATTGTTTTCAGCTAGCATTAGAGACTCAGTAGGTTTATTACATTGTGATTATAGAGATTCATTATTGTCCAATCTCAGTTTCATTTTGATATGGGAATTTGGTTTCCTTTTCAGCTTGTGTTTTGCAAATAGTCCTTTGATTATACATGGATAATGAATTATATCTTGTTGCATATCTTTGTAAAATTATTTGATACATTTGCTCTGTGTTTTTTCCATTATTTTTTTTTAAAGAAATACATGGTTATAAATTTAAATGATGGGCAGACAATATTTTAAGTCCTTGTTTTGAAAAAGTATTGCAGCATTTTGATACATTATTTATACTGCCACATAGATTCTGCATAGTCCATATATTTGAATAATGTAACTTGAAGACACGGGATATAGGATATCTTCTGATTTTGTTAAGGGCCTAGATGGGGACCTACTTAGGAATCCTTAGGTTACCTTGAATGTACCTTGAATGCGCTCGTGAAAGAATAGTGACCAAGAAAAAGTAATGTGCTGCGTGCTTCTAAGAGAAATTATGGTGATTGACAGCCTCTAGCATGCAGAGTTTGATAATCTTGGACACACATCTAAAACAAAAAGCAAAGGAATCTAAGTTAGCCGTAGCAAAATTCTGACAACTGTATTAGGACAAAGTATTTTATTAAGCCAATTCAGGAATACAAATGAGTATACTTTTGAGTTCTCAAGAAGGGTGGATGAAGTTCACAACAAAAAAGCTGGGGGAAGAGATGTTTAAGTCTACATTCAAAATCATATGAGGTAACTCATCATTCTGAAGCATGCATTTTAAGCAGTAGATTGAACAACGTATAGTAGGCTGCTTCTCACATGGTGCTAGCAATAAACCATGACTTACATCCAGTGATTGGGTCTGTATGCTGTGCTAACCTAAAAATAAACATGCTATAACTTAGTATAATTTGTGAATCCAGCCATAGATTTAGATGGAAAGGTGCCCAAATTAAAATCAAGCTCGAGCATGGGTTGAGATATTTTCCAAGCTGTAGTTAAGACAACTGGGACTGTTGTGTTGATGAAACAAGAAAATTTTAAACATTTCTGACAAATATAAAATGTAGTTACTTCAAACTAATCTTCATAATTAAACAAGTTCATTCATGGTTTCACTGAAATGTTTAAAATCCTCTGAATCGCTATGTTTATTGGCGATTAGAAACTCTATGGACTTTTTGTCTAAAAGAGGATAAATGAAATTGTGATTTATGGTTTTGATGATTAGCTAGGATAGATCATGAAAGGAGAGTTACGATACAACTTTCGAGAGAGAGGTCAGTTTAAAATCATAGTTGCTGCTGTAGAGAAAATCAGAAGCCACTTCCTTGTATCACTTTTTCTATTTTTGTGCTATGTTTTCTTTTTGCATCTTTAGTTTTTTCTTTATTCCTTTGACCCTATAGTATTTTAGTTTGTAGTACTCCCATCCTGGTGTTTAAAATTTTCATTAAAAATTTATGTATATAGTTTATTCTTAATTGGTATTTACTGATAGAAGGGTTTTAATCCATGATTAGCTCATCAATGGAATGGGAATGGGTATGAAATTTTGGGGCAAGTCTGCCACGCCCTTCTAGAATAGGGGTCTCCAACCTTGGCAACTTTACGACTTGTGGACTTCAACTCTCAGAATTCCTCAGCCATAATGCGCTGAGGCATAAAGTTGCCAAGGTTGGAGACCCCTGTTTTAGAGGGATCTCCAGCAATTCAAGGTAGGAGCATGCCCGGAAAAGTGAAAATTAGCATCCTAAACTCCAATGAGTTGAATCTGGATGAAGTCGCCTATGCTGGGCTGGGGGCTGCCTTCCCTGGCCTCTTCAAATGCTACTTGCTGAATGAGGCAAGCTCTTCTATTGTGAAAAGTGAAAGCAACACAACCTACCCACTCAAGCAAAGTGCATCTCCTTAGCATTCATTGTTTCTTTCAGTCAGTTCAATGCGTTACTTTTTTTCCCCCAGGAATGTATCCAGAATATGAACTACAGAAAAGAAATGAGAGCTAAAGTTGAAGATTTGGGTGAAAAAACCAAACTCCTTCAGGACAAAGAGGGTCTTGAGGTAGGACCACTTCAAACACAGATTACAGGACATGCATCTGCTTCCAGCTACGGAAAGCCTGAACGCTCAGAAGACCCTGTTAGTACAGCAAATACATTTCAGCCTGGAGCCTGGATGCCTCCTGACCGTAAAAAATAAAAGCCAAGCCTCTCTACCCCCCCACCCCCACCCCATGCAAAGCATCAGGAAAGAGGCACCATTTGGTTAATGAGCAACATGAATGAAGATACTTTTTTAAAATTCCAGGTTATACTTAAAAGCTTAGCAGCATTTTCAAAATGCTTAGATTCTGCTGTTTCTTGTGGAAATGTTTAATTGCTTTTTATAAAATGTCCCATCTCTAATTCTTTTGCCTCTTAAATCATTTGACAATGTTTTCAGTGAAGTTATGCTTCAATAAAATTTAATGCTGCTGTAATCATTACAGATGGTGTCCTACATGACTGTATATATTTTGGCTGTTAATTAATGTTAAAGAGAGTGTATGGCATATCCAATGTATGCAGATATTTTCTTTAAACCTGTCAAACTATTATAACTTCTCATATTCCAAACTGCTTAATGAAATTTAGTCATATCAGTTCACAGCTTCTCCTAACATATTAAAAAATGATTTGTTTATGGAAGTGGACCCAAAATGTTGCTTATGAAAAGCTATATTTATTTGCTAATTTTGTCTAATAAGATTTTGACAAGGCTCTAAATGTCGCTAAACACAATAATTAATTATTTAGGACGGGGCACATTACAGTTAAAAATTTCCCATTGTAAATAAATGTCAGGACTTGTGCAAGTTAACAAAGCTAATTTAAACATTGTTTATTTAAAGTAGAAATTTAATGTTTCATAGCTTAACAAATCAGTAACAATGTGCAATCATGAGCATATTTAAATGTCCTATACATTTTGTTTAAAATGCATATTTGTGCTTGGCGTCCTTTGCATCAGGAGATGCAGTCACTACTAGATGAATTATTAGCTTTCTATCTTACTACAGTGTTTTCCTGAAAATAAGACCGTCTTATATTTTTTTGAACCCTGAAATAAGCGCTTGGCCTTATTGCCATGCGCGCAAAAGCCCGATTGGGCTTATTATCAGAGGAGGTCTTATTTTGGGGGAAACAGGGTACATAATCCCTAACTTTATTTTTAGATCAGTAAACCAATGTTGGTTTAGTAGTCATAATTTCACCAAACCAATGTTATAGGTAAGATACCTCTTTTATGTTATAAGTTAACTAGATGTAAATAGGCTTCAAAATGGTACAAGATTTTCAAAGATGATCCTAAGAAGCCTTGGTTTTTGAAGAGTTGAAACAGGAAGGCTTGACTAGAAATATATAAAAGGAATTTCAGGGCGCCTCTATAGCAACTTTGTGACAGCAGCCAAAGAGGCTTGCTACAGGGAGAATGATGCTTGTCATTTGGCCTGAACTGGCCAAGATTCCTAAAATTTGCCTTCAGTCTGCTTTAGCTGAACTAATAAACATGTGAGAGCATTTGTAACCATTGATTCTGGTTGTTACCAAACTTAGTGGTTGTCTACATTCAGCTGGAAACATTCACTATTGCTTTGTGCTCAGAGTGTTGCCACCAAGAATATACTGCAACACAAATAAGAAACTATTATCCAACAGCTATGGCTTATCCACAGACTATTCCACTAATCATATTTTATGTTCTTTTTTCCCCAAGCACATTGTAGATAAGGTTGCTATCATTTACATTTAACAAGGAGAATCTCTCGAATGATAATTTAAGCTATCATGGATTGTATAATTTGAGACAATCTGGTTCTTACAAACCATTATGCGGGGAAATAGTGAAAATACTGGTTTTCAGTATGAAATTGGGATTCTTCACAATGTAGGGAAATTTTACAATACAACAAAATAATATGCAAATTATTAAACAATTATTTTCCATGGTATAAAATCATAAGACAGATTGTAATGAAAATAATAATTCATATCTATATAATTATTACACATGTATTATAAACTTATATTTTGCTTATATCCCAGGTTAGAAAAAAAATCAGAGTTCTTAAAAAAGCAATTAAAGTTCATGACTACAGAAGTTTAATAGCACAAATTAAGGATACATTATTCCAGGAAAAAATCTGTCATGTCTCATTTCTGTAAGGATACAACAAAAAAAGGTACACATACAGTAACAGTGCATTGCCAGAAAAATTTGGCCCAGTGAAATTGAAGTCTTAGTCCTTCTTTGTTCGTTTAGCTTTTGTAATGTTTTCTTGGCGTTTTTGTTTCTTTTTTTGTTCCCGTTCCTTAGCTTCAATCATTTTTGCCAGTTTCCACGACAGCACCGCACTTGCCAAGAATAGAGGTGTTAGAGCAAGGATCACTGTTGTAAGGAATCCATATGGATCTTTTGCAGCCCATTCCACAACATACTCAGCCCAAGATTTGATATTTTCAAACATCCTTCTTGCTACCTAATAGGGGAAAATCCTAAAAAAAAAGTGATACTATTATTTCACAGAAAATTAAACAGACACCTACTGAATAATGCAGAAAGAAAATCAGAATAACAGCATTGAAAGGGGCCTTGGAGAGGTCTTCTAGTCCAACCCTCTGCTCGGGCAGGAAACCCTATACCATTTCAGACAAATGGCTGTCCAATCTCTTCTTAAAATCCTCCAGTGTTAGAGCACCCACAATCTCTGGAGGCAAGTCATTCCACTGATTTATTGTTCTGTCAGGAAATTTCTCCTTAGTTCTAGGCTGGTCTTTTCCTTGATTAGTTTCCATTTATTCCTTCTTATTCTGCCTTCAGGTGCTTTGGAGAATAGGTTGACTTACTCTTCTCTATGGTAACCCCTTAGATACAGGAACACTGCTGTCATGTCACCTTTAGTTCTTTGTTTCATTCAAGACAAGGTATACCCCTACTTTAGTATGTGAAATATAAATTTAATACATCTTTAATTTTATGTTTAGACTACAATGGCATTCCTGAACCACTGCAGGAATATGTTGTGAATTGATCCATTATGTTGTACCCAGGTAGGAAAATAATACATCAGTGGGAATCCAAAGCTTCCATGATATGTTTCCAAATCAGTTTCTAATCTTTGCTAACCCTGGCTTGATTTCACTGGGACAGAATACCCTCATTTGGAGGAGGAAACAGGTGTAAGAAATTATTCCCTTCCCTCCATTTTGCAGGTCTGCCCCAGTAGATCTTTGGCCTTGTCAGTAGTTCTAATGTCACAGCACCCCAAAATGTTAGGCAGGATTGCTGTATCTCTTGAGAAGATGTCGCAAATCAATAGATTCAGCTTGTATGGAGCCTTGAAGGAGCACTTTGTTTCAGTTGAGGCTTCAAAGCATCACATCAGTGGGATTCGGGATTCTACCTATAGGCACCTCTGTGCAAAAGGTTTCCACTAAAGCAAAATGACTAGGCAAAATGTTGACTGGTCACTTCGTTCCAGCAATTGTGTTTTGAGTCAAGGCAGCTCTGCAAAGCAGCACCACATTGTACTATATTAAACAACACAGATTCCAATTGGTGAGGAAAAACTACTTTGATACAAACATTAACAAAAACTTCATATTGCAATAAAAGAACAGAATCTTCTACAAAACAGACTGTTACAATATAGATATAACCAAAACCCCCACCAATTTTTAAGAACCCTTTGATGGCCAAAAATCAACCATTTTTAAAATGGTCTTTAAGAGGTTGGAACCACATCATAAATGGGGATTGGGATGATTTCAGACATTTCACCACCATTTTCTCTTCATCGTAGAAAGATAGACATTGCTAAATCAGGTACCTCTTCAACTAGCATGACTATTACCACTATTTTCAAATCCTTTTAGTTGTAAAAGAAGAGACAGAGCCAGGGGCAGAATTAAGAGTGATCAGTCTGGACTCATTCCTTGCCATAAGTGATCTAAGTCTCTCTCTCCCCCCCACCCCATTCCATCAACTCTTATCTAGCACCAATTTTGTATTGACTGTTAGTTGATTAGATTCTTATGCATAGACTTGAGCAATAAATCTTCTAAACTGCAACTTAATGTATGGTCCTGATCTTTTGTGCCCGACACTACTAGGATAAAAAGAACCCACTGTCAGGGTCCTGACCAATGCCCTAATTAAATCATAAGCCTTGAGCCAAGCTTAAAAAAAAAATCCAGTTAATTATTAGGAGTTTCATATCGGCACATTTCAAGTGAAGCCAACTCTGACCTCACTTAATTCACGCCCTGGCTCTGACTCTGTTCTCCCCCCTCCTCAAGGTGTGTCATCAGTTACATTCCCCAACGAAGCAATTTTGTGGGTCGTAGAAGTCCCTCCCTCCAGCCACTGTGGGATTCCCTGGAGATGGCCTTGACATAGAGATGGCTGGAATGTGCTATTGTTTTGACTGAAGTGCAATTCCCTCACTGCAGCTGTGAGCTCGGTTCCCCATCCCCCTGCCTATGGCAACTCGAGAGCAGGTCAGGAATGCTTCGTGAGTTGACACCCTGTATATTATAATTTTAATCATCAGAAATATGTTTAGAATTCTTCCAGCAATGTAAAAGATGTCACAACTTACCCAAGAGGTCAAGCAACTCCAGTGTAGCAACACAGCAACTCTGGTTATCGTTGTCATAAAAAACTACAAGAAAAAACATTGAGACATTTAAAGCAGCTTTTGATTGTAGAAGTTGTACAGTAATAAAAACAGTTCAGATTGTGGTATTAAATAATACTGCATACTGTACAGGTAGTCCTTGACTTATAACTACAATTGAGCCCAAAATTTCTGTTGCCGAGCGAGAGGGTTGTTAAGTGAATTTTGCCTCATTTTACAATTTCTTGCCACAGTTGTTAAGTAAAGCATCTGAATTTTGATCATATGACCACGGAGATGCTACAACAATCATAAGTATGAAAAATGGTCAGTTATTTTTTTCAGTGCCATTGTAACTTTGAATGGTCACTAAATGAACTGTTTTAAGTCAATATATCAAAAGTTCAGTTGCTAATATATCAACATATCAAAGGTTCAGTTGCTAAGTTTCTGATAAATTCTAAAATATTTTAAGTACTACTTAAAAATGTGGAACTGATTAATATAGTAATTTGCTAAACTTTTCACAAAAATGACAACTTCCATCAGTGTTCCATCTATTAAACTTAAATAAATTAAAAAAGAAAAAATAGATCCAGTGAAACAGGAAAATAAACATTTTCCCTTCAGGCAAATTTGCATATTTTCTTAGTAAAATGATAATTTAACACAAAAGGACTATAGCAACTTGTTTTCTTTATCCTTTTTTGAGGAAAACATTTAAAAGCAATTCTAAATAGATTTTTGCGTAAGCAAGTCTGCATTAAGGCAGTGAATTGAATCAAATGTTAAGACTTGTTTACGGTACATCAAGCTGCATGCAAAATGATTTTTGAAATTCTCATTTCTATCTCAATCATGTTTCCATTTTAATAACAATACAGCTTCTATATCATTTATATATCTGGTACGTCTTCATGTGAAATGGCCTTTGACATACATCTATGCTGAAAACTATGAGATGATAAGCAAACCCAATAATTTCCATTTGTTAAAGATGGCAATTGCCTACTATTAAAATGTTCTCCTCTCATGCACTTTGTATTAAAGCTTATAAACAAGCTATTTTTTTAATTCTAAACCTAGTATCTGTTCTCATATTTGGGAGAAAAAAATACCTGCTACTTCTTTATTTCTGTTCAGACTCATAAAAGTAGCAATAATCATTAATATCAAAATTCTCAGATCCATGCTCAAATTCTATTGAATCTATTTTCCAGAGCTAATAGGAGTAGCCACTAAAAATACCCTATTTTGCAGTCATCACTGTTTCTCTACAAATTGTAGTTACTCCTATTGCTCTACTAGAAGCAGGCCAGGGGGCAGACAGGGTACGGAAATTAGTCTGAGGCCACTTAAGTAAGTGATCACAATTACTGAAAAGTGGTGGCATATTTTCCTGTCATTCAAGATGGTAAATCCTTAGTCTGTAGCTCAATCTTGAAAATTTACCAGAGTTTAAAAAGAACCCATGAATCTTCCAAAAATTCAACCTTCCCAACCTACATTGTATCAGTCATTGGGCCCACTGTAATCTCTGTCCATTCAAAAGTTGTGTGTGTGGACTTGGGTAATCAAGTATAATAATTTATAATCCATTGTAGAGTTAATACGTTTACAACTACTGACTACATTCTAAAGAACAATGAGGCTATAACTGCCCAAACAAACTAAAGAGCATCATTTAAATGAGCAAAAACTCAAATGGAAATGCCTGGCACTAGAATATCACTCCCAAAGGAACAATCAGGATTGAGATTTACACATTCATTCTAATAAATGGTATAGGGTCTCCTGCTTGAGCAGGGGGTCGGACTAGAGGACCTCCAAGGTCCCTCCCAATTCTGTTATTCTGTTCTGTTAAATGGCCTGCATTTCTATATGTGGATTCCTGCTCTTTGAACTCTGACAGAATTCTCTCACTGATATTTTCCAGATGAGGAGAGATGATGATGATGATCATGAGGTTATATTTTTACACTGCTCTATCTGTATTCTATATATATCAAGAGCCTGTTTGGTGTAATGGTTAAAGCATCAATCTAGAAACCAGGAGAGTTGTTGAGTTCTATTCCTGCCTTAGGTACAACCGTCTATGGAGATTCTCAGTCATCCAGGTCATGGTTGTCCCGAAGGTGCTTTTTCAAGAGAAAACTGGACTTTCGTCATCTTTGTCATCAAAGAAAAACCAGAAAGTCCAGTTGCCTCTTGAAAAAGCACTTTTGGGCCTTAGGTACAAACCCAACTGTGTTGGGCTAGTGATCTCAGTTCTAGGAAGGAGGCAGTAAAGAAAACAGCAGACTAGTGCAGGCAATCTCCAAGAATGAAGAGAAACTTGAAGGCAACCCTTTCCCAAAGGGGCTGCAAATCAATACTGTATACACTTCAACAGTCCCATGGATTGCAGTGGGAATTATTTCTAATAAACATCCATAGTGCTAGGTTGGAGTCTTAAAAGTTGCCAAGATCTTTAAAAGTTGCCAAGATTGAACAACGCTGCCTCAGTCTCCCTGCATCTAGTGCCTACTGAGCAACATGAACAACCGTCACTCCCTGTTTTCTTTTCATTCTGAAATCGGGTCTTTTGGGCCAGGGGTCTCCAACCTTGGCAACTTTAAGACTTGTGGACTTCAACTCCCAGAGGAGAGTTGGAAGTCCACAAAGCCAGCAAAGCTGATCTGAGAGTGGTTCAGGCCAGACTGGGTCTCCAACCTTGGCAACTTTAAGAACTCTGAGAGTTGAAGTCCACAAGTCTTAAAGTTGCCAACCCCTGTTTTGGGCGACGGAAAGGCTGGTTCTTGGGAAGCCCTCTCGGACTCAGCTGACATTCCCGGAATTTAGAAGGATTTGCAGGCAGCTACCTGAACGCAGCCACGTAGTATCTTCGCCTACTTTTGGGTAAGATATACGCTTTCTCTGGAGAGCAGGCAACAGAATTTCATTTTTAATGTGGGTCCGTGTGGTCGCAGTAAAAAAAACCAAAACAATAAAAGTTATCTTACAATGTAAATTTAAGACCGCGAGTCCTAACGCGAAGCCTCAGAAAGTGAGGCAATTGACAAACCTGAATTTTATTATCCATCCAGGCGAGGAACACACCTTAATACTCTTGTCTTCCACACAGCCACACACACACACACACACACAGAGTTAAGTTGGGCGGGGCTGAGAAAGACTGACCCAAAGAGTAGAGCGGCCCGGGAATTCCCGGGCGTTTGCCCCACAGGTTTCTACTCTGTACTGCGCCTGCGTGCGGAGGGCTTCACCTGTTGAATGTCTGCAGAGGAGTGGGATGCGCGACCACAAAACATAGGCAACCTTAACCAAGGCGCACGAGAAGGTCGCCTGAGACTCTTTTAATAAGCCCAGCGGCCGGCCCTCCCTCCTTCCTCCCCCCTCCCCTCCCCCTCGGACAGTAAGCCGAGGAAAGGCTCCGGTTCGCGCAGGCGAGGAGAGAGCAAGGATGGGACGCGGGTGCGCCACCCCCACCCCCGCGGCTCGGCCCGACGTAGCGCGCGCGGCCACCTTCCCTCCCTCCCTCTCCTGATGCGGGACGCCTGACCCCCACCCCCCTTCTCTTCTTCGCTCCCCCTTCCCCAAGATCTTGGCTCGAGGGTTCGCTCACCGGCCAACCGGAAGGAGGAAGTAAAAGGAAGCCAACTTCCGACTGGAGCCCCCCCTTCACCGGTATTCCCGAGTGGACGTAAGAGAGGAATTACGTCATTCCTTTCCGGATAGGAAACCCCGCCTCTCTGCCTTTAAGGGAACGGGGGCTTTCTTGGGACAAGAGGAGAAAACACACACACAACTCAGCAAACCTGGCTGAGGAACTCTGGGAGTTGAAGTCCACAAGTCTTAAAGTTACCAAGGTTGGAGACCCCTGGCCTGAACCACTCTCAGATCAGGAAAATAAATGTCTCGTTGTTTCTATAAGCATCCCCCCCTCACACACACTTTTCTTGCATTCGGCCGGCTGGGGGGAAAAAAAAGACAAATTGAACCAAGAAGTGAGCTGCCGTTTTCTACCTCTAATCTTTTCTACCTCTGTAGGCCCAAGCGGCAGTCTCTCCGGAGGGCGAGGGAGAGCCGCTAAATGCGCCGAGCCACGAGCGCTGGGTGGAGGGAGGGGGCGTGAAGGGGGCGGCGAGCACGTGGGACTATTTAAAGCAGAAGGCGCCCTGAAAAGAGCTTGTAGTATTCCTGGCGAAACGGGACAACTCGCCGTGAGTCAATTTTCCACGGCCGACTTGCTGCGGGATAATTTAACAATTCTATTTCATTATTTAAAAAAAAATATCTTAATTTTTGCCATTCGCATTTCATTCTGTCCCTCCTTTTGCATCCCTTCTTTAATGATTCTCTCCCACCATTTCGTGGATATTAGTGTGTATAACTCTTGTCCTGCAGCGAGTTGGCTGTGGGGATATGGTGGGTGATGTCCCGCCCAGTATAATGCAACTTTTGGTGGGATGAAATGCAAGGGTAGGGTTTACTTGTGAATAAATCTTGTTGCTCTCTCCATGATCCCAGCAAGACTTCATGGAATTCAGTTCAGCCCAACAAGCCCTCGATCTTCATCCAATCTTTCTCGCTACATTTCTCTAACGTTTTATTTTTAACTCTGCACAATATTGCAAGTAATACTCTGGAATTCTCTTGGGATTTCACTCTAAAACATATGTAAGTGAAAATGCATGCACAAAAGGTTGCCACACAGAGTTATCCTGTGGTAAAATGGGTATGTATGTATGTATGTATGTATGTATGTATGTATGTATGTATGTATACTGCTCAAAAAAATAAAGGGAACACAAGCAGAAGACATCCGAGATCTGAATGAATGAAATAGCCTTATTAAATACTTTGTTCTTTACATACAGTAGTTTATACACTGCTCAAACAACTAAAGGAAACACAAAACTACTGTATGTAGTTTATCTTGTACTTTATCTTGGCTGTACACCGCCCTGAGTCCTCAGGGAGAAGGGCGGTATATAAATTGGAAATTAAATTAAATTAAATTAAATTAAAATTCAGATCTCGGATGTCTTCTGCTTGTGTTTCCTTTTTTTTTTTTTTTTGAGCAGTGTATAAATAAATAAATAAATAAATTTGTCACCGTCTTTCTAAAATAGTTGAGCAATCATTTACTTGAGAAACTAAATATTCTGCATTTAATTTGAGTAACATGGATAATCCTACTTAGAAAATTCTTCCACCAATTTATTTGCAATTATTGTAATCTCACTCAGATTCAGAATAGAGAATTTATGGTTAAGGAGTTTTGGGGTGGAGCAGTGGTGAGTCCCCCCCCCCTGTTCGCACCGGTTCTATAGAACCGGTAGTAAAACCGGTGGGAGGCTCCGCCCACCGACCCCGATGTCATCAGAATGCTTCTGCGCATGTGCAGAAGAGCACACGCGCGAGCGGCCCCATTGCAAACCGGTAGTAAAGATAAGTAGAACCCATCCCTGGGGTGGAGTGAGTTGAGGTTCCCCCACCACCACCTAAAACTGTTAAACCTGTTTGGATATCTGTGGTTTGAGTAGCTTTGAAAGCTACAAGAAAAGTTTGGGGTATTGCATGTTGCCCTTCCTATTCTAAAATGTTGGTGGCAAAACCATCTTTACATATGCCAGGTTTCATTAAACTGTATTTTTTTAGTATATAAGCATTTAGGAAAAATGTGTAAGCAGTGAAAAAAAATAGCAACTTCCTACATTGCCACCCTGGGGATGTTTAATAAGTTCATTGTCTACTACCCTGTTTTCCCCCAAAATAAGACATCCCCTGATAATAAGCCCAATCGGGCTTTTGAGTACATGGCAATAAGACCAAGCGCTTATTTCAGGGTTAAAAAAAAAAAAACATAAGACAGGGTCTTATTTTCGGGGAAACACGGTATTAGTAAACATTTCACGTTCAATATGTCTAGTGCCCTAGAATCATTTAGTCCTCTTGCATCTTGCCTCTAAAGATTAATCTTAAGGGTAGCACAGTTGATTTTAATTCAGCTACATTGAGTATGACTTTCAGGCTATTGCTCTGTAAAGAATTGTCCCCAGGAGTGAATTATTGTTATGCTTCCTCACAAACTGTTTATCTGGCATAATTCCTTGACTCTTTTGTATTCTACCTGCTGAGTAATATCCCCCTTGTTTCTGGGTGAATTATGCTGCTTCCTCTGCAGTTCTACATTGGTGACGCTTTTCTGAAGGGCTGTGAGAATTAATTCTTTTTCCTGGTGCTTATTTTTTTCCAGCTTGTAAAATAAGTGCTCTATCAGCACTTTGTCAGCCTTGTATGACATACATCCAGTATTTACACATCACCAAATAGGTCATATATCTTATACTTTCTTACACTTCTACTAGAAATAACCAAACTCCTTTTATGTTATTAAAAGTTAAATTGTTTTTTAAACATACAGACATGGTATGTATTGCAGAGCTACAAACCAGCAACATCTGCAAAGAAGGATCAATATCTGTGAGCTTGAAACTCACAGATATTATTATTATCAGGAAATGTCTTATTTTCGGGGAAACAGGGTATCTGAGCGGCATCCAACTGTTATCTTCATTGTTCTGAACTTAAACATACTTCAGTCTCTTTAGCCTAGGTAACAGTTCCTGCATATCTTCCTCAAGGTCTTCTTCCTTACTGTCTGCATAAAGTCCTAAACTGGGTCTATCTAAATTCTTCCATGATCTTCACTCCCAGATTTTACTTCTAGTTCCAAATCTAGATTAGAGTCTTTTCTTATGCAGTGCTTTTTATATATATATTGAACTACGTCACCCATCACCTCTGGTTGGAGTAGATATAAATTGTCCAACAGAACAAGAATGAGAAAGACTGCTGATGTACTGGAAGATGTAGATACTTTGGGGGATGAGAGAAAGAGATGCTGTCTAGGAAACAGTCATACAAAAGAAGGGAGAATTTCAGCAGTCATTTAATAGAGTCATAACAAATAGCAAATATATTACTTCTGAACAACCACTTCTCTATAAATGACTCTCTTTTTGTTTCATTGCTTGGCTCCTAAACTGAGTTCAACTTAGATGTTCAAACTCTATCCTACTGTAAACTAGGAGATGACTCTTGCAAAGAAGAATTACCCAGAGGATTTAAAGCTTTTTGATACTTATCAGATTAATGCAAGACAGCATGGCTGCGTGGATTTCCAGTTTCAAGCATGTTCTTTTCTCAGAAGCAATGAACATTTCACACACTGATCATAAAATGTTGATATATAGCCTGTAAGGTTTAATTGTATTGATAGTCTTTAAATCTATCTCTTGTTATACAGTAGTTACATTTTGCTGAAAGGGAAATGGAGATCAGAAAAATCCTTAGCCTGCAGCTACATTGCTGGAAGCAATAATTTTTTCTTACCTCCTGACTTAAATGCTAGCTGAATCACTGTTTAATGTTTTGAACTATGTCTTTATAATTGACCATATGAAATGAATACAGCTAGTCTTAAACTAGCTGTAGGTGGACAATCGTTACAAATTTCCAGATTCATATGTGGAGTTAGATTAAAGAGAATATATTTAATTAGTACACATTCAAAAAATCTTCCAAGCTGGAAATAGCTATCTATAAATAGGATTTTATTTATTTACTGTATAGAGATTTATTTGTAGAAAGCAGGAAAGAATAGGGAATCTTTCATCAAAAGCATGCTACATTTGAGTTTATTGAGGGCTTTTACATGTCATTCTGACTTACATTATGAAAAAATGAGATTGAAACCCAACATCTGCCCAGTTGGGGGCTACTGTGGTTTTTCAGCTTCTCAACCATGATTTGAAGACCTGGTTGTTTCGTAGCCTGGACTGATGGGGGGGGGTGTTTCTTAATAGTTTTAAATTGATTTTAAACTGTTTTAATTTGGACTTTTAATTTCATATTGTTTTAATGTGCAATTGTGCATTTTATTGTTGTGAACCGCCCTGAGTCCATTGGAGATAGGGCAGCATATAAATCGCATTAAGCTTAAACTTAAACTTTGCTGCTGTCCTGGTTCTTTTCTAAGATATGCCCATTAACGGGCTCCATGTATCACATTATTTTGATTTTTAGGATTTTTTTAAAAAAATTAGAATGCCTGCTTC